ACTTGAGTCAAAACACCAGCTCTATACCACTTCCCATCTTTGGAATATTTAGCAATACAAGCAATCTGCCCCATCAGATAAGGATCAGAGTGAATCAGAGCCTTGCTTTATCTAGCACAACAAAACAATCCAGGTTTAGGATTTCTTAGAATTAGTTCATCATTTTCACATGAATCATAACATTTGTTTATATTTTTCAATATATCTTGGAATTCATTCCAATCATTAATATGTATCCAGAAATTTGATGGGTTTAATATATATGATACAAAAGTTATGTAGGCAGTCTTTACCTCCAGTTCTACAGTTTTAACAGAACAATCTACTTTTAAAATATCTTTTTTTATTTAGACAGTCTACTGATTGTGCAGTATTTCCAACAAAACTCTCAACTGCAAAGTTGTTTTCATCATAAGCACCTGGCTCACTCAAGAAGTTGGAGATTTTTGAATCAGACACTGGACAAAATATTTGTGTGCTGACAGTCTTTAGCAGGCACGTAGAGCTAACTGTAGACTCTTGAGTCTGTAATGTCACATAATACAAATGTTCATCCTTATTGAACCTATCAATGTATGATACTATTTGACCTAACAAGGCCTGTTTAAATACACTCAGTTGAAGTTTTCTTGCATCTCTATCTGGACTGTGTAAATATGTCAGAGAACATGGAAATGAAAATAATGGTACTAAACTAAAATCCTGTTTCAGTTTCCTTACATGAATTGAGGGGATAGCCTCACTACTGCCATAATCCATGAACCAAACTTTTATTTGATTATTGAGCAAGCGCTGTTGAGGAATTCCTGTATGACACTGTCCATTTCTCCTTTTGGCAACACAAAGTAGTCCAAAATTATCACAGTTGCTACTAGTTTCTTGACTAAAATATCGTAATGTAAAGTCATACATACTGTAAGGTTTTCTAGCTCTGAAGTCCATTTAACCAAATGACAATAAAATTTACTTGGGCTCAATGCAGATGATATCTTTACACTTTCAAAACTTCCTACTGACAAAGATGGCTACAAATTATCCAAAATGTGTTGAACATCAAGTAAATTGTCAAAATCACTTAATGACAACTGAGGTCTTTTATGCTGTAATAAATCTGGCATTTGTTGAGGAAATTCTTTTAACATTTCCACAATAAGACAAAATGAATCTCCATCAATAAATCTTCCTAATTGTAATTCAAGAGTCCAGGATATAACTTGTGGCACTTCAAGAAGAATCATTTGCAAAGGCAAAACAGCCTGCACATGACCTTTCAGCTGTATTCCCACTAAAGACTTGAAATAATTCAAAGCCTTGGGAGACCATTTTTCTCCAACTGGAAGAATATTGCCAAAAATACCAGACACTACCCATGGTGGTAGATCAAATACATTATCACGGGCTGAAGCAACCTGTGTGCTACCAACTGTTAATTCTTCTCCATGATCTATAAATAGCACTGTGTAGAGCTCATTTTTCTTTTTCAAGGCTCTTCCTCTCTGCCTTCTCCAGTCACTCTCTCTTCCCCCAAACAAAACTCAAAGATCTCCACGTTATTTTTTATTTTTGGAATATGCTGTACTTCTCTCTGCAATGCGTGGTAGTCAAACTCACATTCACCATTATTTCTGCCTTGAAATTTCACAAGAATACCCTTGGAACAATATTCAATTTGTGATACTGTCAAATCTACATCTAAAAATGCTGGTAACAGAGATGTAGAATCCATCATCTAAAAAGTAAATAGGTACTAATTAGCATCTGGACAGACAGGTGTCAAAATTAAATACAATTATCCTTATGTAAATTTGGCATATAAATATAGCCTTAGAAATAATTCTGTGCTTGTATTTTTATCAAATTAAACATGTTGGAAAAATGTTGGACATTTTGGACAAAATGTTGGTGAGATAAAAATCTAACTGCTCATTGCCTTATACAGTTTTTAAAAATTTCACTCAAATAACCAAGTAAATAAAAAAATCGGAAAAATATGTAGCACCACTGGAAAACAGGGAGGAGAAACAATTATTTTCCAGAACCTTTAACAAATTTTAGATATTAGACGTGGTGTAACAGAAGTTAGCCAAATAAGGTTTGCTGGAGAGTTCATCCTCGCCTTGTCAGAAAACCATCTTCTCTCATGCAGACTCCTTCCAATAACCCATAATTCAAAGCACTGAGTAGAAGTAAGGGCAGATGGTAAACAAATGAGGAGATACACTCCCTACCCTGTGTCAACTAGCAATAGTTGAGCACTGTGAGCATCAATATGCAACCCCAGGATTGTTCTATTATAGAAATAAATAGGCTGAGGTCTGGATATCAATAAGGAAAGGTAAGCAGAGTCACAATGAAGAAAGTTAGATATGTCCAGATCTTGTTACTGGCATGGCTAGCTATAAAAAGGAAAAAGGAGAAGAAATCGTTAGCATAGAAGCAAAGTTCTCTACCTTAGCTAGATTTGAGAGATTCTAAAAATAAAACAAATATTCAAGAAGAATGAGACATTCCCTAAGTTCAGTCAAGAACCCACACCTCCTGGAACAGAACACTGCTCGACCCTTTCTTGACTAAGTTAACAGCTGACAAGAATCCGAGAAACAAAAAACACTGGACCTTTAAAAAAAAAAAGTGAGGGGAACCACTTAAAATAAACCAGACAATACTGCCCCCTGGAATAAATGTATTAAAAGAAACAGCAAAGAAATTTTTCCCAAAAGTCTGATTTCAAGTCTCAAAAATGTAAAATGAAGATAATGTCATTTTTATATGGCCAAGTCACCATTAAGATGTTACAACTTAGATTAGGAAGAACTACAGACTCATGAAAGTGAACCCAAAATAAATACAAGAAAATTTTGACAGCAAAATTTAGAGGAAAAAGATAAAAATATTTAAAAGGAGAATGTAGAACAAGAATGTAAAATCTTATCAAAGTATAAATGTTATTTCAGAAAAAGATCAAGTAAGAGAACAGAAGCTCTTTCTAGGACTCAAGACCCAACTTTATAAACTTAAATAGAACACTAGAAACCTAGAAAAAGACACAAGATTTACAGAAACCTGGGTACTAACTATAGGGTTTATCTCTTCCTAGGTAATACATGTGGTACCATAATCAGCACTGTCTGTTCTATAGTAATTCCAAGATATGCTTACTTGACTGTAGAATCTTTAAGAATAAAATCAATAAGTAATACACTGAAGATGTGAAGTAGAATAAACCAAAAGTTTTAGGACACAAAAGACCTTCTTAAGCCTTCATTACTTAAAGTCACAGGCCTTCGCCCAATTTCCAGTTACAGGTCTGTAACTTCTTATACGAAGGGAAGACAGGTGGTCTTAACTCCTCACAAGCAATGTAAACGATATAAACCATAACTTTTGTAAACCATAACTTTCTTCCTGATAGTCACCTAGAACTCTCACAACTACTCACTTGGATAAATAAAAAAGGAAAAATACAAAAATCTTTCAGGAACCATGCAACCACTTCTTAGCATAAAAAGTAGATGCACCAAGAAGATTCCTGTACAAAATGCAAGCGGTATAAATAATATACGTCAATGAAAGCCCAAGGACACAGGTAATTATATGAACAGGTTACTCACGCCATCAGAAGCCTACTCCTCCAGAGCACCATCCTTCCCTCAAACAATACAAATGGCCTTAGAAGGAGTTTTGCATCAGAGAGGGAAAAACTCTGAGCCTGGTTTATACATGGCTCTTATCTAATCCTATTAACATCCAAAAATAGATTGCTGAGTAATTACGCTCCAACTCAAGGGAGGGATGAATAGGAAACTTCACAAATGAAAGACCCACTGTTAATCTACTTTGCCTGAAAAAGAAATTGTTAAGAATTTATGCCCACTGATGGCCAATGGCTAATCATTTCTACAGGAAAATAGCAATTTTGAGGATCAAGACTGGAGATGTGTAACAAAGAAGTGTAAAGAATTGGTTTGTGGATGAGCCTCTAAGAATTACACATAAAAAGAAAAATTTTAGGTCCCATGTTATGCTCACCAAATAGGCCTACTACGGAAAAAATAATAATCAGGTAAAAAGAATTAACCTTCTGTGGATGGCATCAGTTTTCTTCAACTGCCTCTAAATCTCCTTCCCTTGTGCATCTAAAGACCAACTATAATTCATGTTTTAAAATCTTAAAAAATATAAACATAGAATTTTAAAACCAAGCCAATTATTATATACAATAATTGTAGCCTTTTAAAGACATCATTTAAGATGTTCTGGACATAACCCTTACTCAGTAGTATATTCCTTAAAACATTACTATATCATAAAGGTACTTAACCTGTGTACATGAGAGTGAGACACCAGAAAACTTGAGTTTTACTTGAGATTCTATTAAGTGAAATTTGAAAAACTATTTTTTCTTAGAATCAGATGTAAATCTACAAAATGAAAGCTGAATTAAATTAGTAGTTTTCAAATCTTTTTGCAGCATAAATGGTTAAACTAATATCTATACAAATATAGAACACATCTATTAAATGGACTGATTTGTATTCTAATAATTCTGTAAGTGTAGAGAGAACAACAAAGCTATTCTAATGAACACATGCTTACAGCAGTTTCATCTTACAATCTGTCTTATTATTGTGTCTGATAGCACAGTATTAGAAAAGTAGGCTCAGATATAAGTAATAGTTCACCTACTTCTACAATAATATATTACAACACAATATATGCAAATAAAAATATAGGAGAACCACATTTAAATAATCAATTCATCTTAGGGAATTAATTGTGCTCTTCTTTGTTTTAAAATTTAATATATTGTATTTGAATGTTTTGTTGTTTTAAAAAACAAATTACAAGGGCCAGGCATTTAGCTCAGTGGTTCTGCCACCTGCCTCACAAGCGCAAGGTCCTGAGTTCTATTCCCAGTACCAAAAAAAAAAAAAAAAAAAAATTACACATTTTTAAAAATTAAACTGAAATGCAAACTTTGCAAATTTCTTAATTTAAATTAAAAATTCACAGCATAGTTTGAAGAAAATACAATCTATAAACACTACTAAAATTTATATTAGAAGTTCTCCCTAAAATATTTGACAGAACACATATTATAGGTGATGTCACTCACTGTATTCTATGAATTAACATCTAATAAGTCTGCCAGTGGGATTCAGTAGAAATGTAATTGAGCTATATTTCCAATTTTTAATTCTCTAGTAACAACATTTAAATTTTAAAAAGAGATGAAATTAATTTTGATAACATATTTAACTCAATATACCCACATGTAGGCTTCTAATATGTAATCATAAAATTAGTAATAATGACTTAATAGTAAGCCTTCAAACTATGACATTTTATACTTTACATCTTACTCCAGATTAACCACATTTCAAGTGCTCAATAGCTACATATGGTTAGTGGCTATAGCATTAAGAGTACAGGTCTAGGGGCCAGGGATGTGTACATCACTCCTACTGTTTCCCACTGTTTAAGTAAACCACACAATCATAGACAGGAGTTAAGTTAAAAAATAAAATATATAAATACTGTACAAATACAAGACAAAAATAAATACACAAAGCATCCTTCTGAGATAGAGTCAACTTACTAATTCTCCCATTTTCAAAACCTAAGATTATTCTGCTGAAATTCTGGCCAATACCGTGGTAAAGTCATCACATTCCAAATGACTAATTCAAGTTTAGGGCCTAGTTTTCTTCCTCCCATCTTCTCTATATATTCAGGGTGATTTTTAGATTTAGGTATTTAATGACTTTGATGTCGTGGAAATAAAAGTGATTTTCAGTCTGTGTATTCAAACTGAGGGTGTCAACTTTTTAGCATTCTTTATTGAAGAAATTCTCAACTTAGGGTAATTTTGTTCCCAAAAAAACACCTGGCAATGTCTGGAGAATTTATTTAGTTGTTACAACTGGGTGTGAGGAGATGCTACTGGCATCTAGTGGATGGAGAACAGAGATGCTACGAATATCCTAGAAAATGCACCAAAATAAGTATATATATAATATATACATACATACATCCAGGCCAAAATGTCAGTTATTCTAAGACTGAGAAACTGCTTTAGTGAAAGCAAAAATAAATACCACTTAAAAATAAAAGGAAATAATTTTATAAAACTATCTAAAAGATTCAAGAGAAAATATAACAATTTTTCTTAATCTTACATTAAGGGAGGCTTTCAAGAAAAGCATCCTCCTCTGCCATATGCTCCCACTGCCATAATGATCACCCTGACCACAAACCATAGCCATGGAGACAGCTGACCATGGACTGAAATCCAATCATCAGTCAAAATAAATTTTCCTCCTTTAAGTTGATTTTTCTCAGGTATTTTTGTTGCAGCAATAGAAAGTTATCACACTCAAATGATAAAGTGATTTTCAGCCAAGGAGCCAAGCAATTTAATAACGATGCTGTAATAGAGTAGTCATATCCTAGCTACCCTATTTGTATGTGGATAGCCATACACACACACACACACACACACATACACACACACAACTTTACCTGCTATCATTTACAAACATTAATTCTAAAGGAATCACAGACTTACAAATAAGAACTAAATATATAAAATATCTAGAAAAAAAGGGAGAAAAATCTTTGATTTGGCAAAAATTTCTTAAACTCAGACACATAGATTTTTAAAAATCAAACTATTCATTAAAAGAAAAAATCAAAAGACACTTTTTGTCTTACTTTCTCCTCACT